AGTTGTTATATATATATATATATATATATATATATATATATATATATATATATAAGTAATTTTTGCTAAGAAAATTACATATATATATTTTTAGATTATTTTTAAATTATAAAATAAAGTATATGCTTTTGAAATTAATTAAATATTAATCCTATATAGCTAACTCAACAAAGAATTTTTTTTGTTCCTCAATATTATTCAATATATTTACCTTAAATTTTAATTTAATTTTTTAGGTTTATCAGTTCAATTTTACCAGTTATTATACTTCCTTTTTAGTTTCAGTAAAAACACATAGCCTTAAAGATTTAAAACTTTTTCTAAAAATATTATTCAAAAGCTATTCTCAAGTTTATGCGAGAAGGCACAAACATGTTTAATTAGCACTTTTATTATGATTCTTTAAAATTATAACATAAATTAAAAAACTAAATTTCATGTCTTCTCAATTTATCTCCTTTCAAAGGTTTCAATATTACTCAAGTAGTAAGGTTTTATTTGCTGAGATAAAAATAAATAAATTATGATTTACATAATTTTGTCGAAACGCGCGTGGCAAATAAAGCATTACTAAAACATAATAAAAATTTAATAGAACGAACAAATTACTATGAAAAGTTATTGAAGTTCATTGCGTGTGTATGTGCATATTAACTTTGACATTTTATTTTTAATATATATTCATTTTAAAGTTCTAAATATTTATACTTCCTATATAGTTTAAATAAACAAGATTCTATAAGTATAAATTTAATTGCTTTTAAAATCCTTATTTACTAAAATATTTAAGTTATATTTCTATTCAATATAAAATTTATTTTTATAGAATAAAAAGTCAATCAACATTTCCTAGTTTTGTGCTTTTATAATATAGATTTAGGCTTTTACGATGTATTATGATTAAATACGCTATCAAATAATTATTTTGATTGTTTCATTGAACATGGATTTATTATATTATATGATTAAAATAAAAAATTTTAAAATGCACATTTGATTGTTCCATGCTAAAACAACTTAATGTTGACGCTATTGTATTAAAAAAGTTTCATTTAATATATGAATTCATGTTGTCATACTTTCATTAATTAGAAATCAATTCAAAGCACCGAATAAAATGTTCTCCTCTATTTTCAATTAGTATAATATATATGGTAAAATATTTATGTATTTTTTTCTTACCTAGTTTAATAAGGAAAGATTTAATATGCAAAGTTTTAATTGATTTCAACGTCCTAAATATTAGGAAAGTACTTGAATTACAATTTTATCCATTATGAAAGGTATTTTAAAAGGGTAAAAAAGGCGAACGATATTTCACTAAGGGCCTTCGTGCTTTTAATAAATCCATGTTATTTGATAATTTTATAAATCCATGTTTCACTAAGTTTCGTGCTTTTATAACTAACATTGCTCCAGTGTAATAGGCAAGCCTCGTGCCACGAGCTCGAGGCAGAAAGCATGCAGGGGGTTTTGAACTTACAACCTAACATTTGGGAGATCTCCTGCTCAACCAACTCGACTAACATATCATCCATCTACTATTAGCAGGGGCGGAGCTAGCCCTTCACTCACGCGTTTGGCCGAACTCAGTAACTTTTATGTAGCCTTTAAATTTGTCTAGTGAAATTCATAAAATATGTATAAATTACTATTTTAGAACTATTAACTTAAAAGAACTAGAATTCCGAACCCATAAACTTCAAATTCTGACTCCGCCTCTGACTATTAGTAATATCAATTCAGTGTTCCTTTTGTTTATATCCATTGTTTTTATTGAAGTAATATTACTTCTTACTATAAGCTAATTAAAACCTGTTAAATTTTACATCATAAAAAACAAAATTGTAATGCACGAGCAGATCATTTCCATCCTAACAAAACTCAAAATACGTACTGCAACATCATATATAAATGATACTAGTATTATTGCTCTGCCTTTGAAAATTACTTCCACAATCATCAATATAACTTTGATTAAAATTAATTCTTGCACTAATTAATTGAAGAGAAACCGTCATTAACTGAGGTAGCTCTGTGCTAAACTCGGTTTTACATTAATTTGGTTCAACTAGAATTAATATTTTGTAAATAATGGATGCAACTGATTTCCAAGAACAAAGTTAAAATCTAAAAAGTCGGCGAATATATAATATTTACTCCATTCATATATAATATATATTTAACCAAGAATAATCAGTATAACATATGTATACCAGCTAGGAAAAATATCAGTTTTTTGCGTAAAAATTCCAACGAAAAATGAGATATTGCAATCCACAAACTCATAAGGATCTCCAAATAGATTAAATTATTTTCGGAGCATTTGCATCTATATCCGCTTTTTGGGTCACGTTTTAACTTATACCCGCTTTTCAAAAAAAAATTGCAAGCGTGCTCACTTTTCGCGTAACTTCAGGCATACGGGCCTGAAGTAGCAAAGACAATCATGCAAACTTCAGCATTCTAGTAGACGGGCCTGAAGTAGCAAAAATTGTTGAACCAAGTGTTGGCTGAAGTTTTTGTTTGTAATTGCTGAACTTAAGCATTCTAGTAGCTGAAGTTTTGTTCTCTATTTGCTGAACTTCAGCATGTTTTAGCTGAAGTTTTTCGTGTAACTTCAGGCATACGGGTCTGAAGTAGCAAAGGCGATTACGCAAACTTCAGCATTCTAGACGGCCCTGAAGTTGTAAAAATTAAGATATAGGTTAAATAATTTTAAAAATATGGATATAAATTAAATGGGGAGGACCAAATAGAACGCACCATGCAATTTTTACATTATTTCCTCCTTACGAGTAACAAAAAAACAACACGTCTTATTCTGTTGAGTCGTACTTTTCAAAGATTAGTCTTGATTATCTTACCTACATTAGACCAAGAGAGGACATCAAATTCTTGAGAAATTATTTGTGTTTCACACAGTGATTGTCACAGTTAGGTTGGTAGGATTTTCCAAAGCGTTGGACGTTTGTACATCAACATATTCCTACTTTTTGTCCTACCTTTGAGCCTCGTTTGTTATTAGAGATTATTAATTTTGGGATTAAATTTGAAATAAGTTCATCTCATATTTGATTGGAATAAAATCACGGAATACCGAAATTAATTATCCCGGAATTCTAATATTATTTTTAGCCCTATAGGAGGATGAGTAACAATCCCGGAATAATTAGGGGGCATTTGCATCTATATATACCCGTTTTTTGTGCCACATTTTAACTTGTGCCCGCTTTGCAAAAAAAATTGCAAGCGTACCCGCTTTTTCACATAACTTCAGCCCACGGGGCTGAAGTTTTTCTTTTGTACTGAAAAACTTCAGCTCTAGAGCTGAAGATTTTGTCTTTGTAACCGGAAAACTTCAGCTCTACAGCTGAAGTTTGCCAGTTATAAAATAAAAACTTAAGCTCTAAGCTTAAGTTTTCCAGTTATAAAATAAAAACTTAAGCAGTTTTCCAGCTTAAGTTTTCCAGTTATAAAATAAAAACTTAAGCTCTAGAGCTTAAGTTTTCAGTTATAAAATAAAAACTTAAGCTCTAGAGCTGAAGCTTTTCTTTTGTACTGGAAAACTTCAGCTCTAGCTGAAGTTTTTGTCTTTGTAACCGGAAAACTTCAGCTCTACAGCTGAAGTTTGCCAGTTATAAAATAAAAACTTCAGCTCTAGAGCTGAAGTTTCTATGTTGTAACTAGGAAACTTCAGCTCTAGAGCTGAAGTTTTTGTCTTTGTTTCTTGTACTGATTCTTGTACATTGATCAAAGGAATTACATGGAAATATCTAGCAATTTTTGGCGGATAGTCTTGAAATATCATGTTTAAGTAGCTACATATTATTTCCCGTTAAGATTTGTTAGAATGGTCAATGAAAATCTGACGATTACATATCGTGCAAAGCTCAATCTAGAAAATCTATCTTCTTCAGTTACCGCAAAGCATGAAACTAGCAAGTTCCAATCTCATATTTTATTTGTAAAGGCTTATCTCAAACACTAACTACGGTGAAGAGCAAGAACTGTGGTATTGAAGAAGAAGAAGAAGAAGAGGAGG